TCTCTTCCAACTGATTTCCGTAGCTTCGTTGGCACGGATGGGAAATCGAGCGTCCTTGCGCCTAGTAGTAAGGCCAGGAACCCCTAGTAGCGTCAAAGTAGCGTCCTAGCACCTAGTAGTAAGGCCAGGAGCCCCTAGTAGCATCCCACTCTACGGTCCCGACACAAAAGAGGGGTAGGGAGAGAAGAGAAAAAGAAAGAGAAGAAAGGAAAGGGGAAGAAGGTGTTCCCAGCTACGACACAAGCGTCCAAGGACACACCAAAGGAAGAGAGGAGAAGGGTTCCCAGCTATGACGAAAGCATCCAGGGACACCCAAACAAGAAGGAGGGAAAGGAAAGGAAGGAAAAAGAGAGATCCCAGCTACGCACAAGCGTCCAGGGACACACCAGTGAGTGAGAGAGAGGGGTGAGCCTGAGTATTACATTCAGGAACACCCCAAGATGACAAAAAGGGGGAGAGAGGAGGGGAGGGGAGGAGGAAGGGGGCTAAGGTCGCGACAGACTCCAATGAGTCTAGACAAACTTGGGCCGCTGGCCACGTACGCCGTGACAAAGTGGCTGGCTGCTCAGACCGCTGCGGTCACGTAAAGGCATGAGCCATCTTGGAATTCAATAATCCGACAAATCTTGGCAAATAACTTTGGCATAAGCCTCCTGCTGTCCGCTTCGGACACCTACGTTCCCGGGCAGGGGGAACAACGACAAACCCCCGTTCGACGGGTCCACAGGGGGCACTCTTCGGGCTCACCCTGGGCTCTCACTAGGAGAGACACACTTAGGATAGGATGTACTGAACTGAAAGCGGTGCCACACGCCAGCCTAAGAAGCCAAGTCCTGAAAAGTCCAGGAAAACCCTATGGAACCTGGAGGTCTTCAAAAGGAGTAGGGGCCAAAAGCTCAAGGCGAGGTCGGTCCGACAGAGTGACGGCTCCGTGCGTGACTGCAGCTGCATTAGCCCTTTACAGAAACTTGAAAGTCAAAATGCAGGTACAAGAGTTGGCGTCCCAACTCTCTTCCAACTGATTTCCGTAGCTTCGTTGGCACGGATGGGAAATCAGTCTCCGTGCCCCCTGCTCAAAAAGGAAAACGGAGTCAAAAGTACAATCCAAACGGATCCCTGTGACTACAAGGGGCACACACACACAAAGCTGAGATGAAACCGCAAGATGGCCTCCTTTTGTCTCCTTCCAGAGCTCAACAATGTTTTGCAGCTCACGTCGAATTGCTTGTCATATTGACCATTAGCTTCATGTTTGTGTCCATAAAGCCTCAGCAACCAAAGGAAGCAGTATTCAAGCAAACAAACCCTTTGCAGCAAGTCAGCTCAACCCAGCCACAGTACTTTGAATCATGAAAGGAACCTTGAGTGTCATACACCTGAAGATTGTAGGGCATATAGTCTTGAGGGCAAAGGTGTCGAGAGCTGTCACTCTGGATGCCTTTCGTCTCACTGGAGAAACTGTAGCTCGTTTTGAACGCGCTTTGCCCCAGCAGTTTGTTCCCCACCGTGGATTTGCCGTGGCCGGTCTTGCCGAGCAGGACAACCTTCAGCGTCTTCGTGGCCGCTGGCGCCAGCATCTTCGGCTTTTTGCCGGGGCGAAGAAGCGGAGGACCCTGAGGTGGCGTCGACTTGGGTCTCTTTCGCACCAAGGCCCACAGCAAAGCGAATCCGCTCAAGAAGGATGAGCCCAAGCCGACACCAACGGCCAAGGCTGCTTTTCCACCAACAACAGTCCCCAAGACTGGCAATGCTTGGCGTTGTGTCGCTGTGACACGATGGATCTGAGGTAAAGCTCGAAGACCTGTCAAGCTTTGAGCTGGTGACACAGCTTCGGGCTCCTATCATTTACAGTATATTCTAGGTCCTACTTCTTCAAACAGGCCCCAACAAGGAAAATGGTGCAGGATTGCGTTTGTTGAGTTTGTTGCATCCTGAAAGATTGCAAATCCTCCGATTCCGGAAAATGGAAGGGACCAGCATATCATCAGAACCTCGCAGCGGTCAGATACTTAAAGTCAGGGCAAAAACACTGCACAAAAAGCATTGCACGTCAATCCTGGGCATGTGCCTCCAGTGAGTGCAGTGAAGGCTGCCATCAGCGGGCAACCAAGAAGCACCAACAAGAGGAGTCGCCCACGAGCATGGCGTGCCATGATGTCTGCGACGTTCGTGGTGGGAGTTCAGCGTTCCGACAGAAACCCTGGAGTTCAAACTTTGCGGGTGTGTGAGTTGCATGCATATCATGAAAAGGATCTGCACATCTGGCAGTCCTGGAAGGGTCATGATGTAAACCTTCCACATGTAGGGCATGTCGCCGAAATTCGTTTGAATGAACGGAACTCTGCATGTCAAATCAGCTGCTCCTTCAATCTAAAACACACATATTATCATTACTTGGCCATAAAATACATATATGATCCATCACTTGTCCATCTCTGCTGGGAGATAAGTCCAGTGCTGAAGCGCCAACCTTCCCACCGACTCCTCTCAACTCTGAACGCATACCGATGACGGCGTGACCGACCGACGAAGTGACCGACCACCGACTGCTTCGGCTCGACTTCTTTGGTCCGGGCAAAATGTGCTGCTGGAGCTGTTCGCTGGTCAAAGGCTCTGGCCTCTTCTCGACGGACAATGGCAAAACGGTAAAAAGAAACAACATAAGCACATCATCTACAGAAGCTCTTGGGTTCTGTGTCCCACAGTTTGAGGCCTTGTTCTCTCCGGAGTTGGACACGGAACGCCCTAAACCGACACGGAAAAAGGAAGTCACGATGGAGCCAAAAAGGGCCATAGGGCCAAAACTCCGACCTCTGAGGCTCCGAGGCTGGGCTTCCCGGCAGGTTCAAGCATGCCTCAATGACACGCACGGCCTCCTTTCTCACTTCCTGCTCATTGTCCTTAGGGGTGCAGGATCTCACGATCACTGGACCTCGTTGGAAAAGTATGAACACCTCGCACAAGAGAATGTAGCCAATGTGTTCGCTGGCTCCTGTAATATTGTTAAGGGCTTCATGAACTATCCTCTCAGATCTTGATTGTGTGTGTATACTAGTGTATACCGTCTAGATTCATCCTCCAAGCAATTGTACTTGTTCTACTCGTCATCCTCATCCACTCATCCAGGTCATCACAACATCCATCCTCAACTCAACTCGACTCGCTTGGTCCTTCATCAGCTGGATGAAGGGCTGCATCAGCTTCTGAGCCGTAAGCTCCGGACCTCGCTTCCGAACCCGGAGCTCGATTATTGCAGGGAAAAAAGGTTGTGGAAAGGACAGAAAGGGTCATTCCAAAGGCGCATGGTTTTGGTGCTTCGAATCGAAAAATACGTCCCTCTTCATTCCTCTTCTCTCACTTGAAAGCACAGGTCATCCCCGTGGCAAATCTTCTTTGCCCCGCAGCCAGAGTTCATCCGAGGTCTCCACCAAAGGCCTGGCACAGCTGATCGAAGTTCTTCGCCACGGTCAGCCTGCACCGAGGCACGACCCGGTCGCCACCTCCTTCGTGCCGACATCGCGAGGCTCGAGTGCCGACGGGATGAAAATGCCAGGGCGACGTGGGCGACGTTTGGAACGGCCAATGCCATCGGTTCTACCAAGGTGACCGGTTCTACTGAGATGCGGAACTCACGTCCAAGGCGGCTCAAACTCCAAGCTGTGCAAAGTCTTTAGAATCACTGGCCCGGAGGAGAGTGAAGCAAACAGGCATACTTTCGACCATGCGGATTCGCAAAATCAAAACCCTTCAGGAGGAATAACTACAACTATACCTCTCTTTCACCCTTTCAATGTGCATTTTGGCCAAGTCTCCAACCTTCAGCGCTGCGACCGACTCCCAGCCACCCGCCCACGCCCACACCGCCTCCGACGGCCGACGGCCGACCCGGCCTGACGCGCCAGGATCGATCCTCGGCGGCCTCCTTGATCACGGTGACCGTGTGCTGTCGGTTCCTGAGGTGACGCGCGCGGGCGGGCGCGGGTGCTTGGACCCGCACGGTGGTGGTCACGGGTGTGGAAGACCGGTGGAAGGAGGCTTTTCAGGGATCACGGAGGTGGGAAGGGAATGAACACAAACAGGACCCCTCAAATCGGGGGGGGGACCCAATGTCAGCCGGCGCTTGAGCTTCCAGATCGTTGAGGGACTGGGTGAAAGGGACCAGTCCAAACTTAATCCATCGTTGGGGGAGTCATGTAGACTCTTGATTAATACACCCCCCATATGAAGACGATGTTCAATTCAAATGCCTGGGGTTATGGTCCTCAAGAGTCTACATTAAACCACCCTTAGCAGCTGCTCACTGGGCTTCCAGGCTCATCTGCATTGAGCATCTTGGCAATCACCAAGGTCGCATGGACACAGGCCACGCGGATCGTGTCCTGGCGCACGAGGCCAAAAACGCACAGACAAACCGAACATGCCGATGTGTGCGTTTCTCCGCTCGACTCGGAGACGCCCAAACTGCCGACCCTGGGAGGAGTTGACAGAGAGACAGCACCCACGCCCAACCCATCTGATGTTCGATCTCCTGAGTGTCTTCCTGCGACAGCTGCTTGTAGACTCCAATGAGATCCGTCAACAGGTCCTGACCGCTCGAGCCGTCCGCCCGTCGTGGGGGCTCCAGGGGACCGGAGCTTGGTTCTTGCCCGCAAGAAGGGGCCAGCTGGGGGAACTGATTCAAATGATAGATTCCAATGATGTAACGTTATCTTGAAGGCATCCCTGGCTTCACAAGTGATGCAGGGAACAATGTCGAAGTTGCTTAAGGCTTGTATTGGGGTGTGCAATGGCTTCGATATCTATGTTCAGCATAAGAAGTTTGAGCGCAAAACAACTGGCAATCTGAATTTGCCCGACCTGAAAATGCCAAAACTCTTTTTCTGCTGTAGCGTTGTGGGCTACAAACAAACCAGGCTGGTGGATCAGGCTGTTTCCTGCGGTCTCATTGCAATTCGGATACGGCAAATTCCGTCTTCCACAATATCATTCAGCCACTCATTCAGCCTATGAGCCCACCAAACCTATGTAGCGTCCACCTGAACTCTGCAGTGTGGCAGTGTAACCCAAATACATCAAGAGCCCAAAAGGGCGTTTTGTCTCTGTTTCAGCTACAAAAGGAGGCGCCTCAAGTTATTTCGTATGGTCGTTCGTCACACCCAGGTCCTCTTCCAGTCTCGACCCCCACCGTGGAACACACCCACCTTCACCTGTTCGGTCGTGCCGGTCGCCTGCTTGGCGCAGACCGAGACGAAGTCGCGCATCTTGTGAGCGGCTGCCCGACGCACCATGGGCGTCTCATCGGCACAGAGCATGGTGAAGGCCTCAAGGTTGAGGTGCATGGGTCATGGCGAAGAGAAAAACGTGGGTAGTCTTCAACGAAGGTCTTCAACGTTAGTAAATGGTCAATGACAAATGTCTGCACCGGTTTATATTCAAAAGAGAACAGGTAGCTGGCAACGATCACAGAACTCACCTGTTTTTCACTGGAGGAACCCTAAAATATAGCTCTTCGTTGATAAAGCCACTCCCGCCACATAAAACCAGCAAAGCAGATAGCGGGTTCGCACCTTCAGTCACAACACCTTCGCTGACCGAGCTCCACACCTTTCGCAGACCTGCCTTCTGGTCTTCTTTGACCTTCCAGCCAATGAGAATTGGTGAACCAACACTTGACGACGGAAGCACGACAACTCGAAAAACTAGACACGACAACTCTGTGACGTCGTGAAAGGACGCGAAGAAATGCTTGAAATGGTGACGCTTCAGGACGTCCAGGTGAAGTATGCTTCTTCAGATGTCTGGTCTGGAAGAGATCTGGTCTTCCTCACGAAGCGACCAAATGTGCGTCGATCTTCCTCACGTTCCTCACGGATCGACGGAAAGCTCTCCCGACATGGCTCCCGACATGGCGATATGCCAAGGGCAGCAAAGCCTCAGAGTGGCAGGAAGAACAGGCGGGTTTTGCAGAACTGGTTCGTCCTAGAAATCCTAGCAAAACAAGCAGCTTAGACCAATGGTTTGACCGATCTTTTCGGTGTTTACTCAAACCAGCCGTGTTAGATCCTTCATGATCCTTCTATATGTTCGATTCAAAAAACACAAAAAAAACAAAAACGCCATGAGAAATCATAACCATTCAAAACCCTCCAAAAGGCTGGTCCGGTGCCCTGCTTCACCTGACCCAGTCACCGGTCCGGTCTGGTCGTCCGTTGTCCCCTTCGTCCCTGGGACCGGCCCCGACGCAGGCGGAGACGCGCGCGGTGAAGAAGTCGGTCTTGGTGGCCAAGCGGTGGAGCGCCGGCACCTCGGCGTGGCCCAGCGGTGGAGTGGCACGAACAGCAACAACAATGGGTTAGGGTTGGAAGAAAAAGCAAAAAAACATGCAGGTGGATTGTTGTTCGTCCTGCTGGTGTTCTTTTTCCTTTTGGAGTAGGCCGCGCCGAGTTCGCTGGCGCTTTGCTAGTTCGTGCATGATGTCATTGGATTTTAGCTCCAGAAAAGATCCAAAAAGATTCCGTGACCACCCTATCCGACCTGCCTGTTGTGGTGCCACTGTAAAAGCTGCGACGACGGACCCAATGTACATTGGGACTTAGGTGGTACCAACGATGCAGCATCCTGCGACTACACCACTGGGACTTCGGCCAAGTAGTCAGGAGCCAGGGCCGGCCTGGCCCCAAGGGGCAGGTTGAGGGTCAGGGTCTGCATCCCAAGATCAATGTGTATAAAACACTGTACAACACGATGCTTTCATAGAAAAGGCAGGTACGAAAAGGTGCCAACCATATTAAGCTCCGCATATGGGCAACATGCGTTGACCTTCTCGTGGCTCCGACCATCTCGCGGACACTCCAGGGTTCCGTCGTCGCCTTTTCTCAATGACCTTGCAGAGGGATTGAATGGCCTGGGGCGGTCGCCGCGGTCGTCGTCGGCAGGATGCCCCGCAACGGTAGAAAGTTAGTGCAAAACAAAGGTCGCAAGGGCCAGTGGGGCATATATGTTGACCAAGTGGACTTCTGGCCAAAATCTGTTGCAAGCTTGCAGTCTCAAGCTGTCTCAAAGATCTCACAGGTTCAAAGAAGCACTTTTCATATGAACAAACCGCGGAAAAAAAGGCAAAAGAAGTTTCACCAGTCCCAGTCCTGATCTCTGATCACAGTTTCCTCTTGCGCTGCCAAGTGCTCCAAGGGTGCAATGAGCCTGGGGGTTCCAGGAAACAGTCCAACTGCCCACGCTAAAAAATAGAGAAATAGCATTCAAGAATAGCATTGGATGGAAAGCAGTCAAGATTAGATGCCATGGCATTGGATGGAAATTGGATTGGATGGAAGAAAGATTAGTCATAGCATTCAAGAAGTCCAAGGTTCTGAATGGATGTTGAGAACAGTCATTCCAGCTCAAAGTGATCTTCACCCACACCAGCACTGTCTTTTCTTGTACCAGCTCAGCACTGGGAGTCCGACATCTCATCATTCCCATTGATGTAGTCCGAGAGAACTGCATACTGCCTCGAACACACAGCTGTACTGGACACCCTCACATGCCAAGAATAAGGGGATTCAAAAAGCCATGAAGCTATCATGCAAATAGGCTTGGCTGCCAAGCAGTACCCGAAATCGCACGAGTCTCGCCTCGCCATGGAGTACAGGAACTCGTCATCATTGCAGAGAGGCTCCTCCTGAACGACCTGCATGACAAGGCCCTCATTAGCATGACAAGGGCCTTGAGAGAAGCTCACCCTGCAAGTGGAACCCGTTCTTCCTATCTTCCTCTTGATCATCTTTGGTCTTTGGACTTGTTGAAATATCCGCTTTCAGAACTCACTCGATCTTCTTCGATTCTGTGACTCGTCCAGGCAGAAGAAGGACTCACATCCTCCCGCGACAGCCAAGCCGCGAAGCCAAAGAACTCGCGTTGGAACCCGCGGCCATTCAACACTGCCAAAGAACAAACCAAAAAATCAGACGTCTAAAAGTTTAAAGTTGAACAAAATATGTCTGACAAGAATATATGCAAAACTTAAAATTCACTCGGTTGTTTACTTCTGGGATGAGTTTTTTCTTTGCAAATTCCTCTCCAGGACTTGACTTCACGTTCGCATGCACCCCAACCCCACCTGCACGACGTAAGGGATGAGCTCGCTGACGGTCCTCTGAGGACCCAGGGCCTCGGCAGGACCGACACGTCTGGGATTGGTTCCTACGATTCCTACGATTTATGAAATTGAACTGAAACGGTTTTGGAAAAGAATCTCCAGACCTGACCAATTGTCACACACTGCTCGGAAATGCTTGAGAACGTATCTTCGATGTCCTCAAGAAAAAAACTGCGAGGCTCGCTTGATTTCAACAGTGACGCCGTCCTCTCCCAAAGTCTTGTTTGAAGCTCTTAAGGCGTAAATCCAGTCTCTAGTCGTGGCCGTCTTCTGGCCGCTGTTCTCGTTGAAAAAAACGAAAAGGGGAAGAAGAAAAAGAAGAACATGGGGATGGAGGAGAACCAGAAGAATTCTTCTGAAGAACATGTACGTAACCAGAATCACAAGCTGCCCAAACCACCCCCCCCCCCGCCCGTCCCTGAACCGAGTCAGCACTACTCGCTCGCTTGAGAGCCGAGGAGCTGAGGCGATAAGATGCAATTGGTTCACTGCACCTCGGAGCAAACGGTCCGACCTCTCAGACACCGATGCGGGTCCGGTCCGGGTCGGTCCACCGGGTCGGACTTCTCCTTTCCCGAAGGGTCGGAACGAAGAAGTTGGAGTTTCTGGTGCTACGAGAAGTCGTTCGAGAAAAAAAGAAGCAAACGCCATTCATCATACATCATACAACACAAAATCCGCAAAGATCGACAGCTTCCATCGAGCAAGATGACCCACACTTGGAATCCAAGCCGATCTTGATGGTCGCATTCTCGTTTCTAATCTCTTCCTGCCAACGGCCATGAGTTTCGTGCAGGTGAGGCGGATCTGAAACGGTCAGCTTGGGGGAATCACTGCAATCGGTGTCCCAGGTGATCGGGATCACTGCGGCTCGTCATCGACAGTCAGATCGTGTCTTTTGATCTTCAACCAAGAATCAGACGCTTTTCGGGTTGATCCCGGTGATTTTCTGAGATACAAAGCTTCAGATCCCACCCCTTCACGGACGCGAAGCGAACACGGACGGGTCAAAGCGATTCGCTTGGATGACAACACCCACGAAATTCCAGGCCAACAAGGAAGCGGAGTCGAAACGAAAACCACCCTGGCGAATCAAAGCACCTCCTGGCGAGTCGATTGGACCTCCTTTCTGTCCGAAGACCGTCAGCTGGGGCGAAGCGCACTTCGGAAAACATGGATGCGTCCCGCGCGCTCGGCGCTCCGGTCGCGAAAAGCGAACTTCGGTCGCCTTGAAGAACTCCAGGCAATTGAAGTCAACTCCATTTCCTCAGGCACACTGCTTGAGGAGAGTGGCTTCCCCACCGAAAAAGATGTCTCCGAGATGGATGAAGATCGGACATCCGATCCGAGCCAAGGGTGGAAACATCAAAACTTCCAGCAACCGAAGAGCTAGCAGCTAGCAGCTAGCTCTTTTGCAGCTTCGCCTGGCTCTTTTGCATCTTTCAGGCTGAGAGGTGACCTCCCAAAAAGTACCCCAACCGGCCCACCCGCCAAGGGCCTTTCTCACAAAAAGGCCCTGCAGTCAACGTGCTGGTGCGTAACGGAAGGCCAAGGCATCCAAAGGGGTCACATCCGCTCTATCAGCGTCTCCCCTCCCCCAAGCTTCCGCACCCGCCATGGTCTCTCAGCACTTGGGGCGACCGTTACGGTGGCACTCACTTGAGCCCAACACGGCACTCGTGGAGGCCGAAGCCGTGCGCGGTGTGCCCTCACGAACCCGGTCGTTTTCGCACCACGTCGGGGTGCGAAGAAGGAGTGATTCCATTGGGGGACAAGGAGGCCGCGGTGTCGTGTTCGTTGGAAAACAAGCAGCAAAGAGGCCGAGACGCAAACAAAGTCTTGACCTGTGCTTGCTCTGCGCGAGGCATGGAATGGGCAGAGTAAGGTCTAGAATGACTTGTCTTCATGCCGAGAATGGGAAAAAGCAAATCCACTTAACGCTCAGCACCTGCAATCCTGCATATTCACTCAATACTTGTCAGATCTTCAACAACAAAGATGGCGCGAGCTTCATAATGCACCAAACAAAAATGCAACTCCGCATAGCTGATTTTCCGCTGAGCTTTTGAAAAAGTCTACTGCCAGACTAGAAGTGCTTTTCTATCTGAGCTGCCCACTTTGTGGATCAAAAGCTCCCAGCCAAAAAGACTCATG